TAAATTTAAGGATGAGAAGAGTGTTCTTTCAAGAAACAGACCACTGGGACAACAACAAGTTCCAACTCCTCTTGAAAGCACAACAACAACAAGAACAGCATAAATCCAGCAGTAATTTCTTGTTCTTGTGTAAGACCAACTTGAAACCAACACATTTTCCAATGATCTTACCTGAAATTTGTGACCAGTTCTTGTATTGGTGGCAATATTCATTGGGAATTGAGGAGTTGGATGTATTCCCATGCCATGAGGACTTATTTGAGGAGTTTGATGGGAATTTCTTTATGATGCATTCATGTTTTTGTGGACATCAAAAGTTTGCTATTGCAGCAGTGTTYTAAAGTTAACATAATAACTTTTTTGAGTCTCCATCTTCAAAGACCRCCTCTATCCATTCTACTTTCTCAGCATCTACTACACATCCAACAAAATTGCAATCAATGCAATGCTGATAATATCACAATCTTGGTGGTACCCATTTTTCAGTTGACAGACTTCAATGTACTACACATGATGGCTCCATTTGCTTTTGATCTTTCACCRACATCTATGTTGTTGCAATCAATCATGATAGGTCTACCGCTACCAACATAAATGAAAGGTATTGGATCTACAATCCTTTTGAAAGATTTGGTTCCACCTGCAAAAATGTAATTGTCTTATGTGGCAGATATTAAGCAGTACTTCTGAAAATCTGCTGGCATGTCTCTGTATTTTCTTTGTTATTTTGTGAATCTTCACGTTTTGCATTTAGTACAATACTACTAGTGTGATCTGACAATCTACCATTTATATTTTTTGAGTGTTTTGTCTATCATGTACTATTGCACACTTGTCTACATTGCTGTTGTATGTTGCATGAGCAATATCTTGTGGGGGTTTGTCCCAAGGTTATACAATTCTTGAATTGATAATTTGAACATCATGCTCTTCTTCCAAGCCATTTGTTCTTAAACCATCAAGAAACTCCATCAAATYACACCATATTTTAACCTGTGTTTTGTTCCTCTAAGTTCAAGAATTGTGTTGTTTTTCTCTCTTCAAAGATAGAAATCTTTTTTTTGACAAGAGGGAGGAGTCTCCTTCCGCTTTTGAGTTGGTTGAAGTCACCTGCAAACACAATGGATAGATTGTGATAGAAATTATATGACAGCTTGTCATATMATAAGTTCAGATACTAGTTCAATGTATCCAATTGTTTGAAGCTAGCAAATGATATAATGTCAACAATGAGCATGTACATCTCAACAATGAGCATGATGCATGTCTGATTATCCCATGCATCAACCTGTGTAATATTAWATCTATTACTTCCACAATTTACATGGCAAGCTTTGCTAGATGAAAATAATGTTACTAGTACTGACATTAAGTGGACAAGCAAAGTTCTCAAGTTTGTAGGTTAGAAGTCTTTCAGCATTGCTATCTGCTGCCTTGATAGGGATGTCCCTTGTTGATAAGATAAGTCTTCTCCCACTGATTTGAGTTGAATGAATTACTTTTGATTTTGCAGTAATTGTTGTTGATGGTTGCCTTGAGATCTTGTTTGAAGTATCTGTTGCAGCTATTGCCAATCTTCCCTTGGAGTCCCTCCTTTTCTTCAATCAATCAGATGAATGCACAGACTTCTTCTTCTTTTCAGTGTCAAAACACAAGCAGCAACAATCTAGCTACTATGTATTTTCCCTATCATTTTGAAAATTCAACTATTCATAGTAGTGCCTGGGCCCTCCAGTACCCACGCGCACATCCCCCTTTTCGAATTCCTCCCCTAGAAAACATGGGTTATTTTTGGTGAAAAATAACCCATGTTTTAGAATTATGGTTTATTTCATGGGAAGAATAACCCATGTTTCTAAAACGTGGTTTTTTTTTTAAGAAAAATAACCCACGAAAGAATCCAGGAACCCACAAATAACCCACGAAAGAACCCATGAATAACCCACAAATTTAAAGTCATCTGGGTTGATGGAGAAGCAAGGATGTTAAGTATTTTAGTCATTCACATTGTTTAATCACTGTTTTTAATCTTTGGAAAAAGGCCCAGCAGGTTTGTGGGTTTTCTGTGGGTTATTCATGGGTTATTTCGTGGGTTATTCATGGATTATTTCGTGGGTTATTCATGGGTTAACCCAGGAACCCACATTTTAAAACATGGATTATTTTTTGTGAAAAATAACCCACATTTTAGAATCATGGGTTATTACATGGAAAAAATAACCCATGTTTAGAAACGTGGGTTATTTTATTTGAAAATAAAACACAAAATCATACCCCCAATATTAGATTTCAAAGGGGGGACGCGCACGCGTTGGTTCCGGAGGGCCCTGATATTTTCCAAGATTCCAGTACTACATGATGTGAACTTGTTGTTGACAGCTTCCACATTATTGTTGCAGCCAGAACGATAGAATCCATATCCTCCTTYTTCTCATGCCAGCTGACTTTCCTGGGACTGGAATAATACTGTCTTATCTTTGAGGAAGGTACTATTGACAACTATTAGATTCCTAATGTTTCCCACTGGAATCTTGGCCAACTGTGTTGCACAATGGTTTGATACCTGCTGTGTTACTCCCAAAGATTACTCCATGAGTCTCCAACTGGCAAAACGCTAGTACTATCAGACTAACATTGGTTGGCATCATCTTTTTATGGACCACATTTCTCATTACTACTAGATCTCAATTCATGTTCCTATTCCCTGTGCTTTTAGGAGCCTCCTTGTTTGAAACCTTCTTGCTCAGTACAAGAAGAACGTTTTTGTTGTGTGGRTTAATTGCCAAAGGATTTTGGCAGCAATGTCCCATTGGAAGGTGAAGATCTTGCTGAGGGAGGSGTTGTTGGCTTGGAGGACATATGTACTTTTTTGACTTTGCATGCTAGGGGGCAGTGTGGAGTGAACAGGGTTTTTAGGACTTGTATCATTTGGTTGTCAATGACNTAATGTTTCCCACTGGAATCTTGGCCAACTGTGTTGCACAATGGTTTGATACCTGCTGTGTTACTCCCAAAGATTACTCCATGAGTCTCCAACTGGCAAAACGCTAGTACTATCAGACTAACATTGGTTGGCATCATCTTTTTATGGACCACATTTCTCATTACTACTAGATCTCAATTCATGTTCCTATTCCCTGTGCTTTTAGGAGCCTCCTTGTTTGAAACCTTCTTGCTCAGTACAAGAAGAACGTTTTTGTTGTGTGGGTTAATTGCCAAAGGATTTTGGCAGCAATGTCCCATTGGAAGGTGAAGATCTTGCTGAGGGAGGGGTTGTTGGCTTGGAGGACATATGTACTTTTTTGACTTTGCATGCTAGGGGGCAGTGTGGAGTGAACAGGGTTTTTAGGACTTGTATCATTTGGTTGTCAATGACCTCGATTACTTTGTATACAGTGTCTGGGACTATTGGCGTGTTTGATTTTTCTCTGAGAGAATCAGTTGTGCTGATTGTTGTGGCTTCATTGTTGAGGTGGCACTGGTGTTCTGCTGCTGATATTTCTATGGTTGTTCTTGCGGTGTATGCCATGGGTCCTAAACCGGTATGGCCTGGCATGGTCAGGGGCAAAGCAGAATTTTGCAACATTTGTTGTCCAGTCATGTAATAGGCGTCCTTGGAGTTTGGGAAAGGAGATTTTTAGTGGGTTTGTGAAGAAGTGTTCTACCTTTGTTTTGCAATTTTTCTCAGAGTTCAAGATTTGTTCCCACACATTGTTCATGATGGTGTGGAAGGTTTGGACCTGGGGTARTGGCATTCCTGACCATCCTATGATGTGGAGGAGCTGGATGTTGGTCATTGGTTGCTGTRYGGGGGCAGTTGGTTTGGGTGTGTYTATGATAGATGCATATAGGTTCATTTGGTTGATTTCCTCAGGTGTTGTTGTGGGTGTTGCATTTGCAAGTAGTTGCMAGAGTCTTGTGTGTGCCATGKTGTGGATATCGTCTGCCATGGTGTGGATGTTGTGGTGGTTTGGGGTGATTGCTGCCAGTGCTTTKGCTTGTGTGGGGGCGRTTGGAGTTTGGAGCATGTGGGGTTGTTCTRTCGTTGCCTGGTGCCTGTGGGGGTGTTGGGGTGTTTCAAGAGGTGCAAGGAGGTTGATKGTGTTGGTTTCAGTGGCATCGGTTGTGTTAAGTTGGTTTGTGAGGTTTGGGGTGTTGTATTCATTGTTTGGTGGTGGTTGGTTTGGGTGTTCTGGAGTGAGGATGTTGTGTGMAGTGAGCAGGTCAGTGATCATTGCTGCTTTGGTTGGCCAGAGGTCTTTGAGGTTGTTGGTGATCTGTGTGGATAGTTGTCTTGAGAACGGGAGGGTTGGGCTTGTACTGTTGAGTATGAGGTTGCTGGTTATTGGGTTGTCATTTTTGCGTGTGCATGCAGGTAGGAGTCACTTTGCTGTTGCGGAG